TTATGAGAAATATACCATTTATTTATTTATTTAAAGAGTTTCAAAGGCAGAATCGGGCAACTTCCCCACCATACTTAAGTAGACCGGGCGGTATTGCTTCTGGAGCTGGGTTCAATGATGACTTGCTAGTTAAAATCGGAAAACGGACACTGTTTTTGTCAAACGGTACCGAAGACAGGGACTGGCTACCGGGCACCTGCAGCGCCTGAAAGGGTGAACCTATTTCTAGACTCTGCGATGCTTTGAAGTGTGAGCTGAAGACTTCACATAACATTCTTTTGTCACTGAAAGAGTCATTGGAGTTAACTTTTTGGATAGAGATCTATCGTCCATAGTTGGGGGTCAGAGAGCGCAGCAGCCAGCTTAGATTCTTAGCTTGGTTCGCACTATTTTGTGCGGTTATTTGTTGGTTGGCTTTTTTCTGCTTTGATATGGCAGGAAGCTGTGTCGCAAGCTCTTTATTTTTCAGGATGTGGGCAAACTTGTAGTTTTTGTTGTAGGATCCTCTAAGCTGATGTGTTCTGTTATGCATATCAGGTGGATTACGGTTTTAGATGAGTGCCTTATTAAATGTGACAAGGGAGCTAGCGAGTTTAGATAGTAAAGTATTTCTTCATAAAACGGTTCAACCGACCGAGCCACAGCATCAGATATAAAGAACTAATCCCAAGTTCTTCAGCTGACGAGTACGGCAACGGTTTTCCAATTAACGTTGTACCTCAGGCGGTATACTACGACTAGGTCTGGGTCTGTTGGGTAGGTGTTAGGTCGCTTTAAGTAAACCGAACAATGCACCTTTCTCTGATCACCACCTGGGAACTCCTGGCCATTTGACACTGACGTTGATAGAGTGCCAAAAGTAAGTATTAACTCAAATATAGCTTCCGCCTTGGATGTAGCAGCTACAGGTTGCGACCAGCTGATTATATTGATACATGCTGGTAGGTCTGCATACTTCTTGTCGCAGCAGGTGGGAACCAGGTTGACTCATACAGGTTGAAACCAACTGCGAACAGTTTGCATTCGCACGAAAGGTTTGATGCCTGCGCAGAAGTAACCGTGTGCTGTCACTCATTGTTGTGGTATCGGGCAGTCTGTAAACACGCCCAAATAGTTCCATCGATCCCAGGATATAGGCCGTTACCCATATTGAACTCATCTCCTCAACTGCGTCCAGGATTCCGGACATTATTGGTGGGTATGTAATTTTAAGGTAAATGTCGAACCCCATCGTTTATGCATAAGAGCACGCGTGAAAAGCTGATAGTCAGAAAGTGAGGGAACATTTTCTGTAGCCTAAAAGGAAAACCATGTTTCCGTGACAAATATTGCAGCGTGATCGGCGAGGAGAGCGAGTGGACGCCGGATACGCAAGTTCTTATTTAAGGACCTAGCATTTATAAGTACGCTTGAGAACAAACATTTGGGGTTTGCCAGCTTTACGAATGACGTATTTCAAACGCTGCTAGCTACTTCGTTTTATGTGGTAGTTTTAGGAAGTAAGTGAAACGTCTTTGCAATGAGTAGTTGGGCATTGAAATGTTTGGTGTCAGGAAAAACCTGTTGCGGCTCATTCCCACTTGGTCTAAAAAATGCGCAGGTTGCAGAGCAGGAAGCAGTGGACCATTTTCCCTACGTATCTGGACGGCGGCATTAGTATGAAGGATGTAGCAGGTTCGCAGCAGCCTGGATGCCCGTGAAGTTGAGTGGAGCAATGTAGGTTGCCAAATGTAGTGCTCGCCATAGGTGAATGGTTTGCGCTGGTGGTGCAAGGTGCCGTTTTACTAGTATCTGGGGTGGGATTCGATAGAGTCCGTTTTGGTGGACCAAAATACAATTGCCCTAACTTGGTATCATTGCAGAATTGTTCACAATTCGATAACACAGCGCGCATGATGCTATTATTGCTTGTTCTCAGCTTGATTGGGCTTGGAAGTTGCTGCTGCTTGTAGCCATTCTCTCAACTTGTACCGAATTTTCCGTAATACCGTTGACTTCAGCGATTTTGCGCTTAAACCTACCCTTCGATTTGCCATCCTGGACATTAAACGCAAGTGTGCTAAACTTTTCACTTTCCCAACCAGTTTGTGGCGGCTTCCTGTCTTCTGCCCTTGATATATTTAAGTCATATATAGGCGACATAACCATTATAAGCGAGCGTCTAAGTGTGTCCCCTCCACAAGCCCGTTTAGCACTAGCTGCCTTTGCAGTATTAGACATGCTGCTGTCTAAGATGTTATAGGTCGCTCGTCGTCTTTGTTGGACGCGATGGGCTCTGGTTGATTAAAGCCTGATTCGCTGCTAGGATTTGTGGCTGCCCAGCTTATGCTTCTTTTCAGCGGCCTGAAAGTATGTTGGCTGCGCATTGTTGCATTGCGAAGTTGTTCGAGGTTAGGTATGACAGTACGCAATGTTGCTCATACTTTACATGAATTTGATGGAAGCCGAAAATTCGGTTACAAGCTTGGTCAATCGTTGAATCTGCTGTGCATACTCAGCAATGCCGGTAACCGCAAGGAACGCACGCCTAAATACGTTCACCGATGTATCATATGGATCCTGGAACACTGGTGCGCTACACAATCCATTCCCACACGCATCATTATATGGTGCTAGGGCCATCGCTCTTCCTGTTTTCAAAGTTGGTCCCGTTGAACCCAGCTGCTCAGGAAAACTCTGTGGGGTGGTCCATGCACGTGGTCTTTTGGCTGAAGGCGTCAGCGGCGCTGTTCTCTGAGTGTAGGTTATGCTGGGCTCGCTACGATCATCGTAGAATTTTCCTAATATCTTTGAGTTACTGGGCTATTTAAAGGTTGCGTTAGAGTTCCGTTCCCTTCCGGTAGAGCGGGTCGAGTTTTATCAGCAGCTGAGCACTTAGTGTTACATGCAACACCTCTTATATTGTTCTCAGGTTAGCTGCTTTGATCCGTGTATGAGGTGGCTTTATGGATAGTACTGGTCACAGGGTTTGCAAATTCTTCCAAAGCATCAAGCAATCCGGTATCCATATGAGACAAGTTGTCATGCTCCACAGTAAGTAGAACACTTAGGTTCACAGGCGCCGGGGAGTTGTCACAAATCGTCTGTACACAATTGGTCCGTGCGGAGCTCTCTCTGTTTATCATAACGGACTTGCAAAGCCGTTCTTGCTCGTACCAACTTTAAGTCAACCAACCTCGTGCGAGTTCTAAATGCGCTTTGATCGGAGCGAAACTTGAGAGCCGAGCTCTCATTATCGAACCTGACTGAAAGGAGTCATTGGTTTTTCGTAACCCCTTTGCTCAGACTTGTGCAAATCAGAAAGTTGTGTTCCAAGCCACACACTTTCATCAGTATTTTCCTAATGGTGTGCATTTCTGGCGGATTGGAACATTGGGCACCGCATCCTCATTAAGACAATTTAGCTTATTACTCACTGCGGTGTAACTCGCGTTGAGGATCCACCAAGCCAAATTCGCTTGCTTAAATACCATTAAGTTCTTGGAATGAATAATAGTCGCTATGGCTGCCGGTCTATCAGTAAAAGGTTCTAAAGTGTTGTAGGTCATTTTGCTCTTCAGCATGTAATTTTGGAGCTCCACCATTTGGGGATTTAGGGAAAAGATGTCCGTTAGATCAACGGTCCGCGGTATAGTTGTACCAGTTGAGTTCTCGCTGATAGCTTCTGTTTTGCGCGGGGTAGGCCTTACATGTCTCACACCGTTGCTAGTGTCTTAAAACGACATCCATAGACAACGTCCAAAGGAGAGAAGTGATAGAAAAGAAAAGATAAGGGCATCAATACTGTAAGTGCATATCGTGATATAAAATACGATAGAGACAACAAAGGCCTTTGAAAGTCCAAATAAAGTGAGAGCTAGGCGAAAAGGATTTCAGTACTGGGTCCCACCTGGTGCACGTTTGTAGCCTATGAATGCAAAGTATAGGGAGGTGATGGAACATTTGCGTGAGTTTCTGCACTACCTAACCAGTTCTCAGGATGAGGTTGAGAACACTGTACCCGGAACCACAAACGAACCGGCAGAAGGGATCGCTAAAACGGCCAAAAAAGTAAACGTACGCAACTTCTATTTCCAATTCCTGATGTCGGTCAAAAGAAAAATGGCAATGCAATTGGTTTTTTCATTTACGCACGAGCACTGCCAGGGTGTATAAGCCTCCACGCAAGCGTCGTTGCCATGTAAATCTCCCAGCCAATTAGAACCATGACAAGAGCACTTTGTGCCCTCAAGCAGCCTGCGAGGCACAGACAGAACCATTAGTTGTCTACTCAATGTGCTCCGAATGCGGACGTTGGTATCATCCGTTGTGCGCATGGTACAATGGACAGGATCATCACACCTGCCATGAGTGTTTATACGTCGACCTTTCATTGCTACTCTTTTTGTCCTCTTGTGTGCTTTCCCATACTTATTAGGTACACGCCCAACACACAGAGGCGGTGCAGCTCCTGGGTGGCGGTGATGGCACTTGTGCCTACCTCACCAACTGGATCACACAGGATGGGATTTCTCAGGTATACCTACAGACCTTAAAAGTACCCGCAGTTATGCCGATTTCCTAGGTTCCTTTATTACAACTTTATCTGCAACCCAACTTAAAGAACCTTGTTGGTTCGACAAGCACCAGCATCATATGTACCGAAGGGGTAAAAGTTACTTTTGGATTCCTATCGGAACTTCGTTTTGTTGCGCCGGCACTGCATTTGTGACGTCTGTAGCGCCCAAAAAGATAACTCTTATCTTTCGTGTACAATTTACTTGTTGACCGATTGTACATTACTCCTTCTTGTTTTAATCTTACAACCGGCTCGACACACAACTGCCTTGTAAGTCCCCGCGCTCACGTGTACGCTCTTGCCTCGCTTCATCCGTCCGCTTCTTGTTGTAGCCCATCGAATACAGTCCGCTGTGTCCGACTCCAATTGCCTTCTGATATCCGCGCTTAATTCCGCGCATCGTCTCGGACTAGTATTAACTAGTCCTACAAATTGGTGACCCCGATTCGCACGCGCGAATTCAACATTTTTTCTCGTTTGTATTTTTTGGTGAGTTCGTTCCTTTTTCTCGATTATATACCTATATTCATTTGTTTCTTGCGTAATTTTAGTACTTTATCGTATTTTGTTCGTTCTTTATCTTTCGACTCACATTTCGAGAGTGGCATCTGAGTCGTTTCACAGCGTAACCATGCTTACTTTGGCTGTTCCAAGTTTCATGGAACACAGTCCAGAAGTTTGGTTTAAGATATTCGAGATCGAGCTAGAAAATAAGGGCATAACGGCGGACCGTCCAAGGTACAATCAGCTCGTCCCACGCCTTCCTCCGTCGGTAGTGACGCTGATTGAGGACATTCTACTCTGCCCATCGAATGAGGCAAAGTATGAAACGATGAAGCAAGCGATATTGAAAGAGTTACGACCCAGCGCACGAGCACGATTTGAGCAGCTCAATGGTCTCAAGCTTGGAGATCGCAAGCCGTCGGCATTGCTCCGCGAACTTCAGCGCATCGCTGGTCCCTTATTCTTGAGCGAAGAAGGGATAAAGGAGCTGTGGTTTGCACGTCTCCCAGAGCCATTGCCGGTAATGCTGTCCATGTTTATAGATGCATCCCTGAAAGACTTAGCTACCAAGGCAGACGCTGCGTTCGAACGTTTTCCGCGGCAGACGACCAGTAACTCCGGTAACGTATTCTCACCGATGAAAACCGAATCCCATGTTTGTTTCCAGTCGCTAGACCGATCTGACTCTAAAGACGAGGAAATTGCGCTACTTCGCAGCAGGATAGCGGCAATAAAGGCTTCGAAGCAGCGTGTGCCACGGTCAAATGCTGACCACGTTTTGGCTACCGTTCATTGCGGCTCGTCTGTGCCTGCACCGTGTACGTCACGTTCGGCACGAAAGCGCCACATTTTCCTTACAAGTTCTCAGTCAGATACTGTCAAACCCAACGAAGAAGTGTGTTGGTATCACCGCCAATACGGTGGAAGAGCTAGACGTTGTCGGGCTCCCTGCATTAGGCACGACCCAGCTGCTTCAGGGAAAAGGAATAGCCCGCATACTAGCACTACTAACGTATCACTCAATAACCAAGCAAAGCGACTGTTTTACGTGAAGGATCGACGTTCTTCCATCACGTTCCTCATCGACACAGGAGCGGAAGTCAGCGTCATCCCAGCGACCGCTAGCGACAAGCACTCGAAGCCTACGTACAATTTGCGTGCGGCCAACGGTTCTCCTATAGGTTCATTCGGTCAGCGCATGATGAACCTAGACCTTAAGCTTCGCCGAGATTTTCAGTGGGTCTTCATGGTTGCGTCTGTACCCTTCGCAATTATCTGCATGGACTTCCTCCGACATTTTGGGTTGCTTGTTGATGCTGGTCGCCACAGACTTTTAGACGATTGTACGAAACTAGGTGTTGATGGAGTCCTTTCAGATGCCCCGATAATCAGCCCAGTATTTCGGATCGCAGACGCACCGTCCGACTACTTGAGCCTCCTCTTCGAATACCCGCGACTGGTTCGACCGGCTGCAGAGCTTCCACCAGTCACGACAGAGGTCGCTCACCACATAGTTACGCGCGGTCAACCAGTTAGCGCACGACCAAGACGGCTTGCTCCAGACAAACTACGGGCAGCACGAGCCGAATTTGATCACATGCTTCAACTTGGTATCGTCAGACCGTCCAACAGCCCATGGGCGTCGCCTCTGCACATGGTCCCGAAGAAGGTTGTGGGGGACTGGCGTCCTTGCGGCGACTATCGAACCTTGAATACGGTAACCACGCCTGATCGCTATCCGATCCCACGCATAGTGGATCTCACCGCCAGTCTGGCGGGTAAAAATCTCTTCAGCAATATAGACTTAAATAAATAAATAAATAAATAAATAAATAAATAAATTGTGTATTCTCGACTAAGCGAGGCACGCCTGCGCAGGCATGATCATGTTAAGAGCACAAAATGCGATCAGTTAATATACAATGGAACAATGGGATTGTTGCATATGTTTATATATGAATGTATGTAAATTTGCTTGAAGGCGGGTTTAGCTTTGTTTATGGGATTGGTAAATGTCTCCTGTCATTTTGCTTGAATGTGTTTGAAGGTGTCGCCAGTACTTGCTATCTGTGGACTTGAAGAGATTGTTCGGATAAGCAATGGGTGACTTTAGTTAGTGGCGAGTCACAACCGCCACGTCACATTGTTGTTAAACGGACATATGTGGCTTTTTATAGGGAGAACGCTTGCCAGGCGAAAACCCACCACGTCCTGGAACACTGCCGCCGAACTATTTGCTGAAGGGGGGTAAACCCGAATCACCCAGCTGGCACCACGAGGAGGTTGTTCGGCTAGCCAGCCTTGGTACGCGCCTTGGTACGCGCATACAACCAAATTCCGGTAGCCGAGGCGGACATCGCTAAAACTGCCGTGACGACTCCATTTGGTTTGTTCGAGTTTCTGCGCATGCCATTCGGTCTAAAGAACGCCGCGCAAACTTTTCTGCGTTTCATCGACGAGTCTCGTCGCGGTTTAGACTTCGCTTACGCGTATCTTGACGACATTTTAATCGCAAGCTCTTCACGAGAAGAGCACATACGCCACGTACGAACACATTGTGATCGTTTATCTCAACACAGGGTGACGATCAACGCAGAAAAGTGTTCGTTTGGTGTCGATGCAGTCAATTTTCTGGGACATCGTATCTCTTCTGCAGGCGTCGTGCCACTGCAGGATAAAATTCGAGCCATCATCGACCACCCCGAGTCTCATTCTTTCAAACAACTCAGGCGTTTTGATGGCCTTGTTAACTTTTACCGACGATTTATACCCAACTGCCCCTAGCTGATGCAACCCCTCACGGACCTTCTCCGAGGGAAGCTTAAGAAGTTTGAATTCCCTGCCCCAGCACGCGCTGCTTTTAAGTCGCTGAAAGAGGCTACCGCCAACATAGCTTCTATAGCGCACCACGATCCGGCCGCCCCACTGTCTCTTAGTACTGACGCCTCGGACGTCGCAGTCGGCGCTGTTTTGCAGCAACGCGTAGCCGACACGTGGCAGCCCTTAGCGTTTTTCTCCAAACGCCTACAACCTACCGAATCTCGCTACAGCACGTTCGGTAGAGAACTATTAGCCGTATATCTAGCGATACGTCACTTTCGACACGTCCTAGAAGGCCGCTCCTTTGCCGTCTTCACCTACCACAAACCCCTAACTGACGTGCTCGGCTCGACTACCGACCGATACTCTCCTAGAGAGTCGCGCCACCTTGACTATATCGCTCAGTTTACGACCGATATACGGCATGTCTCAGGTGTGCACAACGCCGTCGCTGATGCACTTTCCCGCATTCAAGCTATTTCCGCTGACGCCGGCACTGCTATCGACTTGGCAGCCATGGCCACAGCACAACTCAACGATCCTGAGGTTGAACTACTACGCATGTCTCACTCAGTGGATCTACGACCCGTTCCGCTGACATCATCAGACGGAACGATACTCTGCGATTTATCTCTGGGCACGCCGCGCCCCGTCGTCCTACGTGAGTTTCGGCAGACCGTGTTTGACGCGTTGTACGGCTTGTCTCATCCAGGCGTTCATGCATCGGTTAAACTCGTAACCGCACGATTCGTTTGGCGCAATGTTAATCGGGACGTCCGTACCTGGGCAGCTGCTTGCCTTCCGTGTCAACGCGCGAAGGTGCACAAGCACACGAGAAGCCCATTGGGCACGTTTCCGACGCCAGACACGCGTTTTCATCACGTACACCTCGACCTCGTAGGTCCTCTGCCGCCTTCCAAAGGCTCTGTATATCTACTGACCTGCATCGATCGATTTAATAGATGGCCTGAGGCCGACTCCATCCCAAATTGCTCCTCGGAAACCGTAGCGAAAGCTTTTCTGGAGCGTTGGGTAGCACAATACGGCTGTCCCGTCATCGTGACCACCGATCGGGGTTCATATTTCTCGTCGACCTTTGCCACGTTGCTTAAGGATTTAGGCTGTCGCCACGTCCAGACGACGGCGTATCATCCGGCCGCTAACGGCATGGTGGAGCGTTTTCACCGCCAGTTGAAGGCAGCGCTACGAGCGCACGCAGATCCTTCATGGTCTGAAAGGCTTCCCCTCGTTCTCCTAGGCTTAAGAAACACGGTTAAGACTGACATCGACGCCACACCAGCGCAGCTAGTCTACGGTTGCACGCTGCGGTTGCCCGGACAGCTGGTAGCACCAGCCCCATGTACTTCCACTTTTGACTACGGAAGTTACATTGATCGATTGGCTCACCAGATGCGTGAGCTACGTCCACCCGCTCCTCGATCCCAGAAGACACCAGTGTACGTGCCCGAGAAGCTGTCTACGTGTTCACACGTCCTTCTTCGCGCAGACGGTGTTCGACAGCCTCTTCAGTCGCCGGACATAGGGCCCTTCAAGGTGCTGCATCGTGCGAGTAAGGCGTACACTATTGACCGCGGTGGTCGACACGAAGTCGTCACCATCGACCGTCTGAAACCCGCCTTTATGGAAGAAACTACCTCGCCTACTTCGTCTAGTAGTGCTTCGTGCAACGTTACAACTCATCGCACCAACGTACGGCATCCTAGTCCAGTTCAACCAGACCATGATCTCGGTCTACAAGCCTTCCCAACCTCTCCCGAATCTAGCCCGCCGCTTCCCACGACCAATCGCCGTGGTCGGGAGGTACGTAAGCCCGTCCGTTTTTCCGACTATGTACAGTGTAACTACTTTTAACTTTGTAGATATTGTATATATTTGCCCCGTTTTTGGTCGATTAACTTTTTGAAAACAACCAAACATATCAAAAACTTCCGAAAAACCTCTTACAAAAATAATAATCAAAAACCAAAAAATATTTAAACACGCAGCTCATTCGTTTGTTCTTTTTGGCGTTTTCTGCGCGTGTTTTTCTACTTTCTCGTCCTTACATTCACCAAACCTCCCCTTCGATCGACTGGCCCACATGAGGAATGTTTTCGAGGACCCTGACGCGAACACTGGTTGCTTCTCCGCGGGACGAGGGTCGCTTCTTCGCGGGACGAGGAACGCTTCTCCGCGAGACGAGGGTCTCTTCTACGTGGGACCGTGGTCGTTTTCTTCGTGGGACGAGGGTCGTTTTGGCGCCGGGCGGGGTGCGGCGGGGGGAGAGACCCCTTTTAAGCGCACCGTTTTGCAGCAGCGGAGGTTGAGGTCCTGTCGGCCTTTTTCTGGACTAGCCAGATTTTTTGTAGTCCGACAAACCCGCTCCGACGGCTCGCCGAAATGCACCCTGCCCTGCATTCAATAAATAACGAATCATAAACGGCGCAGCGGTCTCCGACTTCCAACGAACCCCCATTTACACGAACGCACGCCCATTTTTACTCGGCGCGATTTCGCCTTTCGAACCTGGTTTCAACATCCCTTTTCGATTTCGAAGGCTTTCTATGTACAGCCTTCTAGTGGGGAGCTCTGCAGCGCCCAAAAAGATAATTCTTATCTTTCGTGTACAATTTACTTGTTGACCGATTGTACATTACTCCTTCTTGTTTTAATCTTACAACCGGCTGGACACACAACTGCCTTGTACGTCCCCGCGCTCACGCGTACGCTCTTGCCTCGCTTCATCCGTCCGTTTCTTGTTCTAGCCCATCGAATACAGTCCGCTGTATCCGACTTCCATTGCCTTCTGATATCCGCGCTTAATTACGTGCATCGTCTCGGACTAGTATTAACTAGTCCTACACGTCCCCTTACATCCCAGCTATTTAGTGATCCGACACCTGCACATGAGTGTTCAGGACCTTACCCGAAGTGAATGAGCATTTTGCTTGGGACTTCAAAGCTTATGGTTTCCATTAACTTTGCTACCGTTTCAAGGTGTGTATGCTTTAACGAGCATCTTAGCTGGTAGACCATAACACTGTAACCTTTGCCGATAGTAACGTTATCTATTTTGTTTCAACAAGGTGGTTTCAGGGTGTTTCCGGCGGTCACCGTTTTATGGCCTTTGCATTGCTCAAGTATTGTCAAGGAATTACCACAGCAGCTGCAGGTGGCATCGTCACTGGTAGATGGAAGCTGCTGGTGCAGGGTTATTTCACCGTTTACAACAGACCATATGTTTTTGATGCCACTCACAGCTCTGTGCGACCACACTTAAAACACTGTGTCGTATGACCTTTGACAGCAAAAATTTTAACAATTTAATCTCCTAACACGCACATAGTTTGGTAGTAATCAGTCGATAGGCTCTCCGACACCGTCTGCTCACCCCAGTGAGCTCCTTTGTAATACCACATATTTCCTTATTTACACATAGCAACCGTGTAAGCCTCCACACTTCACAGTTCTACATTTACTTGCTTATTCCTCCAAAGCAGGACTTAGATATATTTTCTTTCTTAGACATGCTTCTCACATTTGCATTCGCAGTATTACACACAAGAATCATTCCATGCTATAATAAGTTACAGGACGATCAATTAAATAAATTTCCATCACATGCGCTTTATATTTTGCGCTCCTTTTAAAGTATGTTTCCCTTTGTCATACCAGGCGAGTACAACCTCAAAAAACCGTTAGATATCACGTACGCACTGCTTAACTTCAGTTACTTCATCAACCGTAATCTGTCACTTTCTGTGCGGACAACAACCAAGTACGAGGAAACCTTGTTTGTAGAACTTATTAGCAATACAATAAAGAGAGACAATATAATGGTATCTCTTTTTGTTTCCTTTCCATTACGTTACAAAATTATCCTTACTAACACTTTGCATACTTACCAACTCCCTATTTCTATGTGGAAGATTTATCCATATACAATTCCGACAGCGTTTTCAACTTACAAATAAGGTCAGTCTTTGAAAACTCGTTAACCGTAAGTTCAACTGTTTGCGAAATATCGCCTATTTCATGCGTGCTGTAAGAAACTATATGAAATACGGAGCTGAAAGCTTTATTTCCACCGCGGTTGCAATGTGAACCTTAATAACTTAGTGACATGTTGCACTATACGCCACAATATAATAACTCACAAATTATTCATCCTGTTTCACCTATCACGCATCAAGGGTATCAAACAAAAAACCTCCTGTTCATGTGTAGTATTAATGCCCATGGCGGCGAAATCACATCGCATCGTCATATAGCATAAAGCAAATTTTCAGGTAGTTTTAATAACTTAACCCCTATCAACTTTTTATCAAGCTTTCTTTTCGTAGAATGTTCCAGGTTAATAACTAGCACCAAACGCACACTCAGGCATCGCTACTGTCATGGAAACCACCGGTGCGTGATGCATGACCATCTCATTCGACCTTTCATCGCTCAAGTTAAAACATCCGTACTTAACCTTTACCGTCGCACAACTACACTTTCCTCGTCTACTCGTAATTTGTTTCCAAATTTGCACGCCAAACTATGCTCATTCCATTCCTCCTCCTTGCCCGCGTCGGATGTACCCAGGGGCTGATATTTGTCATCCCCTTAGACCGACCGTTGAAGGATAAGTTCACATACTGCTACAACACGAAATTAGGAATTGGGGTGGTAGATCAGAGAACGCCGCATACAACATTCAACTGCTTCTACCACGGAGCACGACTTAACGCTAAAGTATATGAGCAATTTTATGTTGTAAGTGACCACTAAACTTCCCGTTAAACCATATACACCAGAAGTCCTGAGACCTACAGGGATTATTTCGCGTCTGCCTACATAGTTAACGAATCGGGTAGCTTGCTAATGCATTAGGATCAAGAAATGTAGGAAAGCAAGCACGCAAATAAATATGGTGAGCGACGTTGCATAAACGGATGCCTTGGTGTTCAATAGTAACCTTAAATAAGGTGCGAGGGATTTTGGAACTCGACGAAGCCTTCCTGTAGTGGTTCAAGCATATAACTAAACGGTGTTTAAATTTTGTTTGTCATACTTGCGCAATAGCTATCGCAATCTTATCCGTATTAGCAGAAAAGTAATACAAGAGTGCCGCACGATTTAATTCCGGAAACTTTTCTCTGCATATTTTCAAGTGCGTACTACTTATCGGTATTGTTCCATTTTTAGTATATAGACCGCCGGAGCGAACGCAAAAGGCGGTGCACCAAATATTCGAACTCCTGCGCACCGTTGGCAATCCGGCACTCAACCACTGGCCTACATGCGGGTTACACCTGCCAGTTGTTAGCGGATAAACCATCCTTCAAAACAAGGTCAAAGAAAAACTGCAAAACCAAACAGTACCTAAACTTATAAAAATTTCGTAAGTGTCCAACCCTTTTTAACACCATTTAATCCTCCATTTCGACAGTTTTCGCATAATGTTGTTGCTAAAAATATAAAATAATTATCCACTACCGTTAACTACTGCATTAAATGACGGAAGCACGGTAGAAGCCTTTCATTGCATAATGTCGCAGTAACGTCGTATTGCATGACAGTACAGACAATGAATTAGGTTTTGCTTCAAGCTTTTGCAGAGGTCGCAGTAGTTATTCGGAAACCAAAGTATTGGTTCTGGTTCGCTTGCAAGTGTACAAAACAGAAAGCTCGTTCAGTGGAAGTCTGTATCGGTCTAGGAACGTAACCTGACTTTTACGAAGGGCCTTGTTTAATCCCATCAGAAACCATCATCTACGCTTCCTAAAGAGCGCGATGATCAGTTCTGCTGGTTTGAGCTAACGGGAAGGTTGAATCAATGGGAACCGCGAAAGTAATCTTTTGTAACCGTTGCGCGGTACAGCTTGTGCGCAAGTAAAGTGACTGTATAACTACTGATGTTCAGCCATTTTTTTCATTAGAAACAGTTTAGAAAGTACGTATTATATCTAGATGGTTACGGGTTTCGGTTTTAGCTGGCAAGCGAGTTAATACAAGACAACAGGGACAAACAAAAAACAAATATTTTTGCTCAGGTGAAAAATACTAACGCTATGAAAATGTCTTTTTTTCGTACCTCCTCAAACACGTGACGAAACGCAAACGTAGATATAGGTTTGCTCAATAAATGGATTACTATCAAATAAAATGGTCAAATCCCTAGCAACTTGTAGCGATATACGAATGAAAACCCTATAACTCAACCTCTAATTTATCCAACGCTTGTTAATATATATGTTTTGGATCGTTCTCATGCATTTATTGCCTCCTTTTTTATGCGCTGCTACTTTAACGTCATTCGTACAGAAACGTCTATAGTACATCCATTAAATTACGATCACCTGTTTCCTTTACATCCGACGTTCTCGAGGTAGTATACTGATATATGTTTGTAGGTAAGAGAGTGACTATAGACTCATTCAAAGATGGTAAACAAATGAGTTATGAGCCTAACCATATTCAGCTCTTCATAAGTGCAAATCTTCGACCCACATTCTGGTGAGACAACACTTGGATGCACACTACAGAAAGGTGCTGAGTAGCAAAGGTACCAACCAAAACCTATATGATCCACTCACCTACTAGGTGCCATCGATACATCATCACCTTATGCATTCAAACCTTCCTGCATCGGTACATTTTTCTCTTTAAATTAGCTTGTATGTTGAACGAATAGATCAAAACCGCATGTATCCTGAAAATCACCACCTTCCGGGGTCCCGTTGTGTAACTTCGTTTCGCAAGAAATACATCTTTGATCATGTATGTTTTTCATTCACACTTGCTTAATAAACAGCTCTTCAGAATCTACAGTTCTCTAACGACCCGGTGGTTGATCACCTCGTAAAGTCCTACTTTGCATCATTGCGAAGCGAGGCTACCGGTAATATTCTGGGTTCATTTGTCGGCGACAAACGGGATTCTCCGAAAACGCATAATAACTGCAACACATTTACCAGACCAGTGACTCGCAGTATTTCAGAGGCAAAGTTACTGTCAGTAAGTTAGCTTCGTCCACTAAATAATCTATCCGTCATTCGTACTCCTGCCAGAACTGCCGCAGATATCATAGAATTTTTTCTTGTCATTACTTTACACTCATTCTCATTGGATACGAACCCTACCAGCACAAAAGTCGGTTGAGGTTCCGCTGGAAGTCCGTCGACAGTTCAACTAGTCTCAGCAGCACTTCCCTATGCACATATTTCCGTTACCCTCAACACATTGCCTTACCTTTCCTATTATTCTGGTCCTACATGTTGCGCGCTTAATAGCACAGTAACATCATAGACGCCCGTACAAGAAGAGTGATTAAAAAATGTCCTCTGGCGTGACTATTTTATGCCCCTAGCCATCCCAGACACTTTTGTTACGGATTGTGGTCACTGTTCCGACATAACATATACCGTTAATTCAGTTTTCCTGCTTGCAAATATCGTAAACAGCAGGTGGCAATCGATTCCCAAAGCGTAATTATGCAATACCAAGGCCATAAGGCTATACCGAAAGGAATTTTGTATGACTTAACTTTCTCCTAAACGTGCCTCACTGGACGGCCAGGGGCACAAAAGTCGTTCAATCAGCGGCAAACTGTCAGTTATTTGTGCTGACAGCAAGTACCATATTATTAAATATTAGACTTATAGGTAAAGACCGGTATTGTTATAGCTACATACTAATATTTAACATCTGGATATATCAATCATTTCTTACTTTATTTTCTTTTTCTGTAACTGACCAAAACCACATCTAAATGGGACGTCTGGCAGTCCAACTTCATGTGCTGGGTAACTGGAAACGATTTATCTGTCCATATGTCTAATGAATATGATTGTGTGATCGTCAAACCCTGGTAATATTCCCTAAGGATGAACTGTTAGCTAACTACTGCGAACTACATCCCGAATGGAAATTGTTTAATTTAGAATTTAAATGATAACAATTAAAGTTTACTATTCTCTACCGCGCTGACTTCATCCATTTTCTTAAGAAGCCTACACACACCAACGTATTTGACAACCATCGTATACGGGACATCGCGCACACCGTGTGGCAACGATGTGTCCACACTGTTACCCTACCTGTAAACACCTGGTGTTACTGATAATGTAGTGACTTGGTGATTCACCTGTCTTTTTGAATGCGATGCAGCATAGTATAAAAATAAAGTTCAATTTTTTACCTAGACAACTTACGAATACTGCCTATTCGAAAGATGACCACGTTTTTTTGAGTCCACCAGACGTATCGCACTTTGCGCGTTTCCAGCTTTCCCGCCTCCAAGAGTGCTAGCCAGGTCTGCGTTGGCAATCATACCTTTTCTCCTAACTAAAACCTTTCTGCGATGCGTTTAGCTAGCGGGATTGTGCGTTTCGACAGTAGACGTCTATAACAAGACAAGCTCGTTAAAGCATCAGCTAAGAGCAAACAACTTGTGCTGCTTCCAATTATGCTGCGCACACCTAGTAGATACTAAATAAGGATGCACCTATTTTGGTTACCAAATTTAGTATGTAAAGTTCTAAATGGGCAATTAGTCTGGCTGTGGAAAATGAAGATGTTGGTAAGGAACAGGCTCGTATCTCTTTCTGGTGATCTAACCAGGTGGTATATGGGCTAAATGTCTAAGAGTTTTGTAGTCATGTCCTTATTTGACGGTATCTTTAATGTGTGTAGGCGCTTAGTAATTTGCGGGGTTATATAAGTGGGGTAGTATGTCAATGGGCGCCACAATGAAGGTCTTTCGCTAATGATACTTATTTTCATGCAAATGCTAGTCTTTAACTAAACTTTTGCTTATTTACGTTGGATTGAACTGATACCATTTTGACCCTTGTTCCTTAACAGTAAGGTTGTTTCGACATTGAGATTATCCCTGGGGACACAATTGTGGATCAGGATTAAGATGATGACATCGCTTGGCTGTGGGACGACAAATACTTCTGAACCACTTAGCAATAGAGACATTTGAAAGAGCGTAAAGCTTTGCCTCAGCATTGGCAACTGCATACGTATGTGCTCATTATTGCGAGTGACGGTCTGGCGCAAATTAATAGCTTTATTTATTTCGGGAGTTGCATCAAGGCTGGCATTAGTATCAACGATTAAATTTCACAAGGAGTTGCCAAAGCCCGCCTTGCTTATATTAAACTAAGGCACTTGTGTTGTCGTCGCTATGTCAGCCTCAAGCACAAGGGTATAGTGTACGATGCCACCATCCGTGAAGTCCTGTTGTACGGCTGCGAAACCTGGCCCGTCCACGTGGTACATTTGAGATAACTGTCAGGTTTTGATACTCCCTGTTTGAACAGGGGTTCTTGTGTAATAGCAGCACAATACAAGTCGCAGGAACGAAATATCACTGCCACCGGTGGCCGGGTGGTCTGCGCACCTGGTTTGCAACCATAAGTTTACGACTCTAATCTGCCTAGGGGTGGACGTCCTCGCGGTATGCTCAGCCCACGCGCGACCGGCATGGATCCCGCGGCAGCGAAGTGTCGTTATGGCGCACAGCTGACACATTCGTTTTTTTACTTTACATGACGTGAACGGCCAATGTGGCCTTGTACCATCATTCCTAATTCGCATACAGTAGAAGCGCGCTGTAAACGTTGATTTCCTAGACTGTGCTTGCTAGTGGGTTAACGGCGCATGCTCACTGTCTTACGCTTGGTGGCATTGAAAAGAAACAGACTTCGAGTCGTGCTGCAGTGCTATATGGTCACTCGTTGTTTTGTTGACCCGTCCTATCTTGAAATCATCAGTGACGAACACAAAATCTGAGGTGCTCACTATTGTGGAAGCGTTTATGTAAGTCAGGAATAGGCATGGGCCAAATACTGAACTCTGCGGCGCTCCGCACTTCAGATGTCACTGAAGTAGGAATTGACATTTCCAACCGCGAAGTCGATCTCCAATTCCACAGCTCTGATACTTGTGAAGGAGGTTCAGACGGTCGACGCCTTTGAGAAGCCCACATACACTGCGCCAACTCTCACACCGTTGTCTATGATATTAGTCTAACTGGAGCGAGCAAGTAGCTGGTTTCTGGTACAGAACCGGTCCTGGCAGAATTCGTGTTTTTCTGGTGCTGTGCTGTTGCATACTTCCAAGTCCGCATTGGTACTTTGGCTAGTGGCCTACATGCCTTCGGAAAGCTGCTCTCTGTTGCGTACAATGCCATCGTTTTTGTTCTACCTCACAGGCTTTCAACAACTAGAGACGGCTTTTTTCGAAAGGAACAAGTCGGCTTTCGTCGAGGCCCAAACGGCGTCGCCCAAATCTTTATCCTTTGACAACATTTTGCACTTTGGCACGTCCACTTAGGGGCATTTGTTTCATTATATATAACTGCGTTGTGGAACTGCCTGCTATGGAAAAGTGTACCAATGTTTGTAGCCATCATGACGGAGCTTTGCATTCTCACGTCTGGCCAGGTCAAAGCCTGCGGCAGCCTCTTCTCTTCGTTTGCTGTCACCGGTGACACTTGTCAAGCTTGCCATTATTTCTCCTTTCTTCTTCAATGTTACCATCAACGATATCATCCAACGAGCATTGAATGTCATCCAAAACTGCGTTATTGAGCTTCGCCCTAGCATTAGGGTCCTAAACTTGGAGTTTGCTGATGATGTAACTTTGCTGTGGGACGGTTCACAAGCTACCCGATGCTTTCTTAACCAAGTAGCGATGGCTACGTCTAAGTATGGCTTGCATTTCACACCAGACAAGTTTAAAATAAGACTCCATAATTGGTTGATGCCTGCGCCTGCCCACACCATTGCTAATGGCATTGTGGAACAAGTCCCTTACTTCACTTCTCTAGGGAGCAGCGTCACGGCCGGCGGCCGTCTTGGTGCTGAGGTCTTACAACAAATCTAAAAGGCCCACTTTGTATTCATCAAACTATGATACTTACGGCTTTGGCACGGTGGCGCTGTCAAGCTGCATCGGTCCATGCGATCGTTTTGTACGGCTCTGAGTCGGTATATGCGCTCGGAAGACGTGAAACGATTGCCAGTTTTTGACAATCTTTTTCTGCAAAGGATTGTTCGTATGTGTTGGATACACCACGCAAGCAATACCGCACTCTGAGAACAAGTGCTTGTGGTGAACATCTTTTGCCTCCAAAGCGTTATTGTCTTACACCGCATGTGCTGGTTCGGCCAAGTATTGCGCATGCCAGCTAATCGTCTTCCCCCGAGCGTTATTGGCGCTTCCCGGAAGCTATTAAAAGGGCTGTAGTGGCCAGTTAATGAATGAATGGAGAGGAAACTTCGCATCCGTCGGACGTGCCCATCCTAAAGGCCGGGGACCTCGCTACATTGACTGCCAGTGGTTGGAATAGTTAGATGTCATAGCTCGCAGCAGGCATCAATGGCGCTAGTGCTGCTCCGCCCTATCACCTGTCGGTTAGTGGCACATCGAACACATAAAACTTAAAAACAAATAACTCAAAACTTGAGTGTGTAAAACTCAAAAAATTGTTTTTTGCAACTATACTTCATTTGTTCTTTTTCGCCGCTATTGTTCTGATGGCGCATCGCCTATAACCAAACTGCGAATATGGACATGGTTAGCAGCATCCGTTTCCGGCTTTTCCTTTCACAGCATCTTTCACAAGACGGTCGTAGGATGCCTGCGCCTGCTGAGGGATCATGGGTGGCCTGCGCTGCACCACCCACAGCTCCATCCACACACCACAAATCTAGTTTATAACCGTAGGAATGGGATCGGCAGGCATGTATATGGAAGGCGCGCTTCATCAACGGAGCCGGCACACACTCCTTCAAGGTGTACAGCAGCAGCATTCTTATAAATAAATAAATTCCTATGTTTTCCGACAAGCGGTAAATGTCCCCTAAGCGGAAGCGATAATTTGTACGCAGAAGTAGTAGCATAGTTTACGTGGTTAAAAACAATAATAAAGGTAATAGACGAAAAATACAATTTCTGATCATGAATTTTCCCTTAGGTCATCGATCCGATTACTCAAAATGCGA